AAAGAGAATCCGCCCTTCGGCGTAGCCTCTTTCGGGTTCCTCCCCGCCCGAAGGCAGAGAGTTCAACCGATCTGTCGTTCAAGATAGCGACGGAATCCTTGCCTACTCCTGAGGCGCAGTATTTATTAAGTATGGAATAATCCATTATTATTATTACGGGTAAGATCCCATAACACAAAGCTACGACCACACCCTGTCATGGGAGAGATGTTGCAGATATTGATGATTCTATTAAATTTCTTTTTTTTCTTTTTATTAGAATTTTATCAATTATTTTGCGGGTTTCTGTATATACAATAAACTGACTATTAAGGATGCTACAATATAAGTGCCCCAAAAATTAGGTAGAAAAGGAGCCTCAGAAATTAAAGCAAGCATAATTGACAAAATATGGTTATATATATATATATATATATATATATATATATATATATATATATATATATGAAGACATTTTTTATGTTTATACATTCTTTTTCATAAAAAGAATGTATAAACATAAAAATGTCTTAAAATAATTGTCGGACTTCGTCCATTTCATAATGTGTGACGTCCTTTATTTACATTTGGATACACATCGAGCAGATATGAATGTACGTGAGAAAATCATGGAAAATTGTCGTGTAAAAACAGTAAAATCGACCTGGCTAGCCGAACGCTCCTCTGTGGCGAAATCGGTAAAAGCACGTCAGGCTATATGACGGTTCCGTATAGGATACAGGTTCAATTCCTGTCGTAGAACGCATATTTTCTATGAAAATTTTTCGGACAATCAGGCCGGTAAATGTTGTTAATACTGTTTATTATAAACAGAGAATTTACGTAAATATTTGTATCTATAAAAAGAATGTATAACATAAAAATGTCTTAAATTAGTTGTTGGACTTTGTCCATTTCATAAATATATATATATATATATATATATATATATATATATATATATAATTGAAACAAAAGATGGTTCAGGTGTGATTCTTATAATATATAGATTTAATGAGCCGGTTAATGAGAGGGAAACCAACAATTTCACTGTTTCTGTACACTTCAACTAACCGTTCTATATTATTGATGATATCGGATGCGTGTTTTTAGCGTCTTCATTTAACAGACGGCAAGAAAAACGCAAATCGGAGTTAAATACATTTTCAAAATAGAATCACATATTAATGAGTTAAACAGGGGATTTGTGTTTATAAACAGGGATTCCTCTAATCAAAAGATTCCGCTAAGAGTGAGTTCCACATCTTTGGTTATTCCTCGGCTCTTTGGAAAAAAAAATTAAACAAACACTTACGTGTCGGAAAATACAGAATTTAAAATCATTTGCTTCATGCTTCAATTTAGTCAAAAGGCAAATATATAATAAACATCATAAATCTTATTGTCAGTATTGTTATATTGGCGTTCTATTCCTTAAAATTCATTCACCTGGTCTATTAAGTTCTATCTATCTATCTATCTATCTATCTATCTATCTATCTATCTATCTATCTATCTATCTGTCTCAGTCATGTTCATATCTATCTATCTATCTATCTATCTATCTATCTACTATCTATCTATCTCCGTCATGTTCATATCTATCTATCTATCTCAGTATATATATATATATATATATATATATATATATATATATATATATATAAATCGATTCTCCTGTCGGTTTCGACGTATGAGGGTCAAGCAGATCCGTTTCCAGGAAACCGACAGCCCGACACCGGCACATGAGATTCGATTATAGTGGCGAAGGCTTCGTGCAGGACCATCCACACTTTTTGAAGGGCCGAATACAAACATATTAAACAATATACGGCCGAATCACAAACATATTAAACAATATACGGACACGACAGTGATGATAGTCTGTCATTGTTTACATAGTGGATCACTATGTAAACAATGACAGACTATCATCACTGTCGTGTCCGTATATTGTTTAATATGTTTGTGATTTAAATCTTTGATAATGGCTTAAGTAAGCCGAAAGCTTAGATTATATTAAAAAATATGGATCAATATTGAGAATTTCTTTCTTCGTTTAATGATAATGTTATCAAACTTATCAGAAGTTACGAACAAATTTTCCATAAAATAAATAGACAACACTTGTCTATATTATTTAATGAAACGTATAAATGAAAAAATACAATATATATATATATATTATATATATATATATATATATATATATATATATATATATATATATATATAAATGTATGTATGTATAAACAATCACTCCTGTTAATTTCCGAAATAAATTTAAAATTTATATAATTAAATAACATTTTCAAACACTTTTTACAAGTTTATTTTCTTTTATGAAAAATTGCATGAATTTTTATCCGTTTCGAACTGGCCTTCCATTTTTTAGCTGCTAACATGCGAAACTAGATTGACGAATATTTATTTCTAAGGTTAGCTTCTGATTTAAAGCGCAACTAATGTCTTTAACCACTGTGCCATGTGTCCTTAAGGATAAAGGCGTTGGTTAGATCCAGTGGCAGGACCCAAAGAATTGCGCGTGAGTTCAATACCCGGTTAAGGCAGTGGAGAACTTGAAGAGGTGAATTAACAGGAGATAACTGATAAGCGACATTTATTAGACATGGAACTAGAACAGTCTACCCCAGCGAGCGAAATAAATGGTTCTGTTCGACATTCCATCCACCTGAGGAAGGCCGGAGCGTACAACTGCCGAAACCTTGTGATAAATATGGCAACAAAGATAAAGATTATAGTACGAATAATGTAAATAATGTATATTTTAATTATCAGCCACTTATGCTCAAATACCCTTCGGAAAGTTAGAATCCGTGACTATTCCCCCAAGCTATGGGTTAAATAGCAGGACAGATTGGGTCTGATAGCATTGGTTGACAACCAGAAAGAAACGGGAAATTACTGCGAGGAAATTTTCTGACTCGTCAGTCATGAACCGGAAGAGACTTGATCGCGAAAGCGTATATCACATATGGCACTTAACTGATCGACTTTAAAAACACATCTAGTAACGTTTCAACCTTAAGGATCAGAAACTTCGTCATGGGTATGTCGATAAACTACACCCAGCAGAAATGCCTCTGATTTTAAGCTTAGAGGTTTTGAGGAGCGTTAAACCACCTCATAATTGCTGATTTTCCGAGGTTCAACATGACCCAAGGTAGTAGCAGCTGTTAGGGTCCCAGCTAAGGGACAAATAGTGAACACCTAAAAGCAATCAACAGTATATTTTTATAATAAAATGAGCTAAAATACATTTTTATAGAAAAATGACAATCAGTGCATCAATGCAATGAAAACATTTGTATAGTAAAATTAACAATACATTTTATAACATACACACACAAATAATATATATATATATATATATATATATATATATATATATATATATATATATATATATATATATACACCGAGTGCAAGAGTAAAATTGTCGAAGTCGTGTAACAGCATAATTGTCCATTATAGAAAAATGGTCGACTATATTTCAACAGTCTACTCCAGTGAGCGAAGTTCAGTTCGACATTCCAACAACCTGAAAAACGCCGGAGCGTACAACGGCCGAAACGTTAAATATATGGCGACAAAGATCAAGTCAATAGTCCGAATAATGTAAATAGTGTACATAATACCTCATCTCAGAAATATAGACAGATATTTTCTGTTTATGTTTGGGTTACCGGTTTATTCTAAAGTATTTTCATTTTCTTTTACCCCCAGTAGCCCCTTGCGTTTTAGTGGCACTATCGTCATACTTGTGGAGAACTGATTAAGAAAAAATACATCTAATTCTGCTAGTGTGAACATATAGACAAAGAAATCGACAATATATGGCGTTCAAAGCAATAAGGAAATAGAGCTATGTAGGGAAATTCAAATCATTCCTACTTGACGGATCTGTAAACTGATCTGTGAAACGCTCATATGGATAATTATAGATGTATATAAGGTATATAGATTTCTACAGAACCCGATGGAAGCTCTATCACTGATACGTGTGTGCTGCGCGAGGAAGCTGCTATGAAGCTAAAATCTTAGATTCGCTTACAGACATTGTCATTAGCGTCCGCGTGAGTCACTCAATTTGAAGCAAAATGGAAAGCTTAAACCATAGAAAAAAATATAGACGCACACACGCACACACACAGAGAAACAAACAAAGGAAACGTCTGCTTTTGAGAAGACATAAAAGTATTAAGAAAAAAAAAGAGAGGAGCAGAAATTGTAATTAAAATTGAAACCCAAAAAGCAACGTGAATCAAAAATAAATCCAAGGAAACACAACGTATTACTGATTTACGATCGACCTTTACCAGCCTTTCTTATCCTCTTCCTGATTTTTTTTTTATACAGTTATTTATATTTAATGACTTTTAGCAAATAAATTCATCAGTTGTGTTCTAGTTTTATTTTTCTTTCGTTTGCCGTTCTAGAGCTACTTTTCTTTATAAGCGAGCATTTTTAATTTAAAAATATATATATATATATATATATTTAAAGATGGAAAACAAACCAGCATTAATCAAAAATACAAAACAGATGACAAAAGTAAAGAAGGAAAAGATATCATTGATAGAAAATGGTGGGGGAAGCTGGTTGGGAGAACAATTGAAAGGATGGAAAAGATAAAAAAATAATAGGTAAGGTTGGAAGGAAAAAGTAAAAAGAGGAGTTAGAAAAAGAAGAAGAAGAGAGAAAGAGTAATGATAGAGAAAACAAGAAAGAAAGAAAGAAACGAGTAAAATAAGAAATAGAGAATCAAAAATGGAAGTCAGTGGTTGGGGATGGTAGGAAAATAGGAAGGAAAAATATAAAAAGGCCCCCCCCCAAAAAAAAACAAGAAAAAAAGGAATCTAGAAAGGGAGATAAATCATTGAAAAGAAAAAAGTTGGTTGGTAGATGTTTTTCTGAAGATAAATAAAACACAAAAAAAAAATGGTGTAATTGAAAATAGAAAATGAAGAGAAAAGACCGAGAAGAGGAGGTAAAGTAATTTAATAAAGCGGAAACAAAAATGGAATGAGATAAAGAAGGAAGAAAACAGAAATAGTAAAAAAGATAGGAAAGAAAGAGAAACGTTTAAGATATGAAGAAAAGAAAGAAGGGGAGAAGAAAGGAAAAAATAAAGAGAAGGATGGTAGGAAGAAGGGCAAAGAAGAAAAGAAAAACTAAAAAAACAAATGAAAGGATATAAAGAAGGAAAAGATTATTGTCTGGATTGTTGTCTGCTGAAGATAAATAAGACAAAGAAATAAAGAAAAATGAAAAAAAGGAGAGAAAAAAGACGGAAGAAGAAAGAGAAGTAGAGAAAAAGAGAAAGAGATACAAAATGGCAACATAACAGCGAAATGATGAGATGAGGAAAGGTTGTAGTTAGTAAATAAGCAGAAACGAGAAAGATAGAACAGGAAGATACAAAATGGCGGAAAAGTTGTAATGAAGCGGATGAATGTAGGAAAGAAGTAAAATGTAAGACGAGCAAAAGGAAGGAACGAACGAGAATGAATGAAGACAGGAAAAATAAAGTTTTAGGTATGAAGAAAGAAGGAAAAAGAGACAGATAATTATAAAAGGACAGAAAGCTAACGAAAAATTAAGAAAAATAAATTAAAGGATGATGTAAGAGAATAAGGAAGAATTGAATGATATAAAAAACCTTTAATAGAAAGAAAAAAGAGAAAATGAAAATAAGTGAAAGAAAGAAAGTATGAAAAAATAGAATGAAGAGTTTATTAAGAAAGTTAAATCAAAAGAAGGACAATTGAAAAACACACGAAAAAAGAAGGATGAAAGAAAAGTAAACGACAACGAAGATAAATGATAATAAAATAAAAAACTAAAGAGAAGTAAAGATATGGAATTGAATTTAAAAAACAAAAATAAAAGAAAGATGGAGGCAAGAGAAATTAAAAGACGGAAAACAAAAGAAAAAACAAAGATGGCGGCAATAAAAATGAAATGACGAAACACGAAAGAAAAAAGGTAAAAAAAAAACAAACAGCAGCGAATCTGAAAGAAAAAGAAAAGAAAACAAAAAAAAAAAGTAAAAAAAGAGAAGTAAATCTTAAAAAAAGAATAAATAGAAATAGTTATAAACAAAAAAAAAAAACAAAAGGAAAGAAAACTGGAGATGAAAGGAAAATGAAAGAATAACAAAGAATAGGGAGAAATGAGGCCGAGAGAAAAGAAAAATGAAGACTTGGAGAAGTAACATTAAAAGAAAAACAAACGACAAGAACGAAAGTGTTACGAATTTAAAAGAAAAAAAAACGAAAGAGAGTTAAATGTTGAAGAAAGAAAAGACAGAAGTAAGAAAAGAAGGAGAAATTGCGGCGAAAAATTAAAAGAAAATGATGCGATACAAGTAATTACAAATGAAAATAAGACGAATAAACAAGAAGGGATTCAGAATAAAAAAAAATCAACAGAATGAGAAAGTGAAATTATAGTCAAAGTAAAGACGAGACGAGAAAATCTGGAAAGGAAAAGAGTTATGAAGAAACAAGAAAGAAAAACGAAAGGGAAGCAAAGGAAGCGAATTCTAGATGAAAAGAAAAGAAAAAGAAAGTTAAATGTAATCAAAAGAAAAGGAAAATGAAAGGAGAGGAACGTGAAAGAAAAAAAATAATGAAGGGAAAAAGCGTAATGACAAATAATGAAAAAACATTTAAAAAAAAAAACGAGAGAAAGAAAAAGTTTAAAGAATAAATGAAAAAATAGAAAGGGAAATAAAAATTTAAAAAAAGAATGAAAAAGAAAAGGTGTGGCTGTAACAGGGAAAATATATAATAAAACATGTGCGAACAAATAAGAATTCGAATGAACAAAATCGAAAAGCAGGGAAAGCCCAAATCAAAGAAGAATGAAAAAGATATAAAGAGATACATATAAATGAAAACAAATCGATAAAAGTTTACAAAGTTAAACGGAACATCAAAACACAAAAAGACAAACAAATAAAATAATAAAAAAATACTCGAAAAAAGAAAAGAATTAGAAAAACATAAAATATAAAACGGAAAAGAGGAAAAGGAATAAAAAGCTTCAGAACAAAACGCAAAATAAATAATTTAACGAATTTCGATTTATTATCTTCATAAACTTGGAAATTGACTTAAATTTGGGACATTAAATTTAGAATTTACTGACCACCTAATTCGCCTAGCTTTTTCGTAATGATTCAGTTTTAATTCTATCTTTTTTATTGTTGTTGTTTACCCTAAATTTGTTTTTCGAAAACAAATATTTAAGATTTGAAATTTCTCTCTTGAAGTATAAAATAAAACAACACATAGTTCTATTTAACGGTGTGTGTTTCCTACGTAAAATTGTAACGATTTTGATTGGCTTATTTGAATAAACTACTTCTGTTTAAATCATTTTCTGATTGGTCGGATTTAGGTTGCAAGTCTGCGACAGGCTTTCCCCCCCAATAACTCGTCTGATAGTCTGATTTTATTGGTCTTTGTTTTTTTTTTTTTTTTTTTTTTTTATCAGGAGACAGTTTAATGGTAAAGTAATCCCAAACACATTGTCTACAGTTTAATGACGGAAACCTTTTGCATAAACCTTGCCAAGTATAGGGAAGTTCAATAGACCTTTGGTTTTAACATTAACTCGGGTGAAAATTTTAGTAATATTCTCTAGGGACATTGGCAGAAAATTACCGTTGTAAACTAATAAATCATATTTTGAATTTAAATTCAAAAGAAAAAGAAAGAAAACTAAAAGAAATAGCTTCGTTGAGATATTTCTATTTGAAGTATGACGTCACACTGTCTGAACGATTTGTTAAATTTTTGTAACGCTTTAATGTACAACATTTTTAAAAGGTGCTGGAAAATATTTTTATATTTACAGAGGCGTGGTGTTTATATTCAGCTCGGTGTTGAGAGCATCTGTAAGAAGAAAGCTTTAAAATTAATTTTTTGCACAGCTCAGATAGAAAGCTAAAAAAATACAAAGATACACACACACGTGCGTATATATATATATATATATATATATATATATATATATATATATTTAATGCAATATACAGAAAAAACAAACACGAAAAACACGAAAAGACGATGGACATAAGAGCACAACTAATCCAAACAGATAACTGAAATTTTTATATAAGATCAGCGTTCCGTTTAAACATGATCACGTCGTCGTCACGTGGGCGATGTTGTGAAAACGTATTCGAAGATGATTTCCAAATATTAAAATATTAAAAGTCGATTGAACTATTTAATATAAACAGTTCAAGAAATCCTTCCGTTGATATTGGAATACGCAGAGATCAATAGGTTCTTATATCTTCATACAAGCTTGAAGTCCTCCACGTTACAAAGCAAATCAAAAATGATTTAAAAACGATGGAACAATTTAAAAAAAAACTTTGATAATAAACTTCTTGATAATAAATTATTATATATATATATATATATATATATATATATATATATATATATATATATATATATATATATATATATATATATATATAAGCAAATATATGGATATAGATCCGACAGTATGAAGAAAAATATACGGAAAAACAAACAAAAATCCTAATATGCAATTATGCTATTTTAATGTTAATATAATGTCAACGTCGGACGTTTCGGTCTAGTAGACCATCTTCAGGGCATATTCATAAATCATAATTAACATTAGACTATATTCAATTAATAATTAATATTAGTTCTTTTCATGTTGAATTTATTCATTAATTTATTACGAGTGTAGCAGCAATGTACTGAAATGAATATAACAATCATTTAATGACATCTTGCCTTGACGGAGAAATGAAAATTTTTAAATACTTTAATACGTATTAAAGCTAGTCATCATCAAAACTTAATGCAGATGTTACCGTAGTTTGCCTTTGCAATTTATCCCTGAAGATGATTTTGGAGAAAGTTGAAAAGTACTTGGGTTAGAAAAAACTACGGCACCTGCCTTGATGAATGTCATCTTAATATCAAGAAACTGATTAGAGAATTGGAATGGATCAGTATAAAAATAGACACAATATGTCAATATTACACAATGAAACACGCGCATATGCACACACACACACACACACATATATATATATATATATATATATAAAATTGAATATATACACGCACCCTCTACTTGCCTGAATAAAAGCAAATTCTCTCTCTCTCTCTCTCTATATATATATATATATATATATATATATATATATATATATATATATATATATATATGTATATATATATATGTGTGTGTGTGTGTACATATACACATGAAGTACTTTTTGTACTCGTCTCAAGACAAAAAAGCGTACTTCAATACATCTGTACTCGTGTGAAGAACAAATTTATTTTTCCACAAAATCTCTTTATACTTTTTCAATGCACTTTATTTTCTATCTATCTATCTATCTATCTATCTATCTATCTATCTATATATATATATATATACGAAAATATAGAAAGAAAGAAAAAAATATCAAAGAGAAAGAAAGAGTTCTGTCAATAGTGTTTGTCAGGGTTCAATCTGGAAAGTGGCCCCCGAGGGCAAGCATGGTAGCACCCAGAATTTTTGTCATCAGATGAATGTTACAGACAAGCTTTTAAATCGGAAGTCCGTGCGACAGATCCCAAGGCGACAAGATATGGGCTTTGGCTATATTGATTGCAATTCTGATCAATAATGGCTTCACTCCCAATAAACTTAATAACGCCGGATTGTGAAATATTTGAGAGCGGCATATATGAAACGCCTTCCCAGATTATTCTAATGATATTTCTTAAAGTTGATAACCATTCTGCAACACACTTATCCATTCTTTATTTCATCTGTTTTATTGATGAGGAATAGCTATATTCCCGTATCTATGGGTTAAATAACAGCTCAGTTGTGATCTTTGTTGTTATCTGCGGCAAGGATAGCAAGTTCATTTTAACACCTCTAAAACGAAAGTGCGTTTTTTTTTAAATCTTCTTAGAGAAACCTTTTTCGGCTTCTGTCTGCATGGCTGATGCAAAACTCCGCGTGCCTTCTCCGTTTGACGTCTTCCACTTAAATGAACTGGAACGATTATATTGAATGAAATGCTTTGTCTGCTACTAGCAAAGTTGCTTCCCGGTGTTGTATCCAACTCTCATTTTCCTTGGAATTTGTCTGAAACATTTATAAGTCTACTATTCGTCCATGGGTTTCGTTGGTGGTTGTGCTAGCAAGAAGTCCCAAGTCATCGTGACCGAGGGTTTCAGCGTACTAGATTTGTTCAGATCGTTGATCACGCTAGATAACACGCTTTCGCCCAGAAACTGTAATTAAGGTCCGCTCAGCATAGTTGAAGTATAAACCACAGATGGGTGTTGAACAAACACAAATTTGCCTGAGCATGCATCTGCAATGGGGATTAGGGAGCCACCCTAGTAGAATGACATCATCGGATTCGAGTGGCTGCATCATTTATTCGTCCATGATTTGACTAGAGTTGCTTCTGCTATATCTGTAGAGATTCATGGCGAAAAACTCTCAAATATCTAGTGTATGTTCACTGTGTCATTCCAATGAATATTTCCATAGTAATTGATCTGAGGATTAACTCACAGTACTAGGACGACAGACAGATCCCAGTATTCTACTACTGAAAATACTAGAGAAAACCGTCAGTTCTATGCTAACAGTCTCTTACACTAGTTACATTATTCGGACTATTGTCCTCCTCTTTGTTGCCATATTTATCACAACATTTCGGCTCCAGCCTTCTTCAGGTGGTTGGAATGTTGAACTGAAACCTTTATTTCGCTCGCTGAAGATCAGTATTGACTTGAATGTCAGAATCCGAAAGAGAGTTCCACAAGCGAGATAAGAAATTGTCAATATCTGTCCATATTTCTGATGTGAGGTATTATACACACTATTTACATTATTCGGTCTATTGTCCTCATCTTTGTTGCCATATTTAGGACAACGTTTCGGCCGTTGTACGCTCCGGCCTTCTTCAGGTGGTTGGAATGTCGAACTGAACCCTTTATTTTGCTCACTGGGGTAGACTGTTCTAGTGCTATATCTAATGGATGTCAGTTATCAATTATCTCATGTTAATTTCCCTCTCCAAGTTCTCCACCGCCTTAACCAGGTATTGAACTCACACTCTTTGGGTCAAGTCACATAGATCTAACTAACGCCTTTATCCACCGGGCCATGTGTCCTTGAGGAAAGTGTGCTTAGATTTCTGGGTATTATAAACCTAATGTTTTCAGCCACAATTTTTTACTAGTGCACATATTGCAATTTTTGCTGTTATCATTGCATGTTTTTATTCGACCTTGTATTGCAATTTTCGCTGTTAAGACCACCACCCCCATAGAGGAGAACATGACTAAAAACTGTGTGTACGCCATCCCGTGCAGCTGCGGAAAGAAATATGAAGGGGAGACAGGCCGCCCACTTAAGGTAAGGCTTCCAGAACACCAGAAAGCTGTAACACGTGGGGAAGTAGAAAATGGGGAGAAAATGGGGAGAAAACTGTCTTCTGTGGTATCAGGTTGAGATCATAGACAAAGAACACCATTGGAAAATTCGTAAACTTAAGGAATCAGCACATATGCTAGGCCACAAAAATCTCCTAAACCGACCAAGTATAAAAATGAATACAATATGGGAACCAGTTATCAGGAGTGAAAGGGAGAAGCAATAATAACAACTAAAATTGCAATACGAGCTCTGGTAAAAAACATGCAATGATAACAGCAAAAATTGCAAAATGGTTGCTGAAGAGATTAGGTTTATAATACCCAGAAATCCGTGCACAAGGACACATGGCACAGTGGATAAAGGCGTTGGTTAGATCCAGGGACAGGACCCAAACAGTGTGATTTCAATAGCTGGTTAAGGCGGTGGAGAACTTGGA